TTTGAATTATCTTCAGCAAGATTTTACTTGCGTGAGATATTAGTGATATTGTTTGATAATTTTCATATTTTGCTGGATTATCTTTCTTTGGACTGGGTACAAATATGGACCTCTTCCAGTCAGTTGGCCAGGTAGCTCCCTTCCAAATTACTTGGCATACATGAGTGAGTGTCTCTAATGTAGTATCCATTTGTTGAAACATCTCAATGCATATTCTGTCAATTCCTAGAGCCTTGTTCTTCGCCAATTCCTTCAGTGCAGCTTCGATTTCTTCCTTCAGTACCATTGGTTCTTGATTATATGCCATCTCCTGAAATGGATGAACCAATTGTTTTTGATACAGTGACTCTCTGTATTCCTCCCATGTTCTTTTGATGCTTCTTGCATCATTCAATATTTTTCCCATAGAATCCTTCAATATTGCAACTTGAGGCTTGATTTTTTCCTTCATTTCTTTCAGCTTGAGAAATGCCAAGCATGTTCTTCCCTTTCGGTTTTCTAACCCCAGGTCTTTCCACGTTTCATTAAAATAACAGACTTTGTCCTCTTGCACTGCTCTTTCAAATCTTCTGTTCAGCTCTTTTATCTTGTCATTTCTTTCATTTGCTTTGGCTACTCTCCATTCAAGAGCAAGTTTCAGAGTCTTTTCTGACATCCATTTTGGTCTTTTCTTCCTTTCCTGTGTTTTTAATGACCTTTGTTTTCTTTGTGGATGATGTTCTTGATGTCATCCCACAACTTGTCTGGTTGTTGGCCATTGGTGTTCAGTGCATCAAATCTATTCTTCAGATGGTCTCTAAATTCAGGTGAGATATAATCAAGGTCTCATATTTTGGCTTCTGTGGACTTCTTTTAATTTTCTTCAGCTTCAACTTGAATTTGCATACGAGCAATTGATGATCTGTTCCACAGTCAGCTCCTGGGCTTGTTTTGGCTGAAGATACTGAGCTTCTCATCACCTCTTTCCACAGATGTAGTTTATTTGATTCCTGTGTATTCTATCTGGTGAGGTCCACATATATAGCCTTGTTTATGCTGTGGAAAAAAGGTATTTGCAATGAATAAGTAGTTGGTCTTGAAAAATTCTATCATATGATCTCCAGCGTCATTTCTATCACCAACTACTGGTGTTTTCCAACACCAGTGATTCTTCTTCATTTCCAATTTTTGCATTCCAATCACCAGTAATTATAAATACATCTTGATTGCACGTTTGGTCAATTTCAGACTGCAGAAGTTGGTAAAATCTTCAATTTTCTCATTTTTGGCTTTAGTGGTTGGTGCATCAACCAACCAAGCCTTAGGAATGCCAATACTCAGGGAGGACAATTAGGATTTGTAGTAATTCCTGTTTAGTTATAATGTTGATCTGCTGATGACTTATATGACATGTATAAACCTCTCCTTCATCCTCAGAAGGATGATGGGAAAGAGACTGTAGAGCATTTGGAACAAATTCCACAGACTAATTTCTGTTCTATTCCTTCTTGCCAAATTGACGGAGCCAACCTTTAGATACAGAACTCATGGAATCTGACATGTTGACTACTAATTTTTCATTAATTATATTCTGGCCTATGTCACCTATTGATTTTTTTGTATTATTGTCATGTAATATACATTGCTGCATTGTCTTTCTCAAAAAGAATGAAAGCAGAAAGACATAGAGAGGTACATGGAAGGTACAGACAACAAAGATGAACTCTTTTGCACATACAGTACTGCTTTGTCAGTGAATACAGACATGGGTATACAGGTGGATAGATGGGTGTACAAACTGAACTAGTAGGTATGTCTATGAAGAGGGAGTGTACCCAAGAACATCTATAGGGTTGGCAGACAATGGTCCTATAACTTTATGTGTATGATCTGAATTCCCAGGTGTACAGTAGAGCTGACAAGAGGCAAGGTGGTAGTCACTTCTTGGTAACAGCCAGCTACCCACAGGGACTGAGTAGTTGAACCTGTGGGCTCGGGACCATAGTTGCGGGGGACATCAAGCTCAATTGGCATAACATACTACACAAAACATTGTTCTACCTCCTACTTTGGCGAGTAGCGACTGGGATCTTAAAAGCTTGCAAGCTGCCATCTAGATGCAACGATGGATCGCTCCTCATCCAGAGCAAAGAAGAATGAAGAAAACCAAAAAATTATGGAAACAATTAGTCCTAGCGATTGGTACACAATCCGATCTGCAGCCCATATGACTATGAGACCAGAACTAGATGGTGCACAGCTACCAATGTCAACCACTTGGAAGGGGATCTATGTAGCAGATCCTGGGTAGAGAGGGAGAACAATGTGGACAAAACTCAAAGTCATTTGGAGAAAAAAAAAGGGGGGGGGATGGGGGAACCAGGTTTGTTGGTCCGATAGAGCCTGGTGGAACCACTGAGCTGCCTGTGAGGTCTGGAATTGAACCCACACCTGTGGCTTCCAGCCAAGCAAAAGACAGGCATATGAGTTGAACATTTACCTGAGGTAGATAAACTCCTTGGAGAAAACAATCATGGGAGAAAGAAGGGCAGCTTATGCACCAGGAGACAGCTCAGGGGACAGGAATGTATGGAGGGATGGACACAGGGAAGAGGTAATTATTGGGAGGAAGTGGGAGGGGAGCTGTTGCATTGTGGTAAATTGTGGTAAATGTCATGAGACAAAGTGTATGCAAACTGTTGTATGGAATGTGTATTTGCTCTGTGAATCTTCACCCAAATCACAATAAATAAATAAATAAACAAAGAAAGAATGAAAGCTCCTTGAGAATAAGACTATAACTTGAGTTTCTTTGCTTCTGACCTTTCTCCCTAGTACTACAACCAGCTGAGCTTCCAGTGGGTACAGGATTTTTGCTTTGAATGATTATAAAAAAGATGGTTGCATTTTAGGTAATCATTTTTGAAGCTTTTGAAATTTGGATAGTCAAAGCGAGATATACTTATTTAAAATTGCAATGTGCATTTTAAAGCACAAAAGTGGGACTCATAGTATTTTAAAATATGCCAACAAATCACAGTTGGTGGAAATGGGTTTCCCATATCAAGAAAAAGTTGGGCACCAAACTGGATTTCAGAAAATGAGGGGTGTGACAAGTGTGAATCAGTGATGCATGGCTGTTGCCTGTAGTACTATTTATGGCTCACTGACACTTCTCTGATGGGGTTAAGTATTTACATTCAGCCTCATTCTCCCCTCTGACTCTGCAGTCCACAGCAACTCACTAGAGCCATGGGAAAGAGAGAAAGCCCTCCTTCCAGAGGTCCTGGGCAGGGGTAAATGAGTCTCCTTTTCCCCTCCTGTGTCTGAGGAGAGTTTCCCTCTGAGAGTTTATGGCAGCCTGACCTCCAGTCTCTGGGTTGGAAAATCAGGCGGCTTCTCCACTACATAAAAAGGGCAAGTGCATTCATTATTATTATACAATGTATAATATATAACAGTGATTATGCTGTCAGCAGTCAGAGTCTCTGACCACAGATCAGAGGCTGGGGTGACATAAATCCACCAAGTGAAGTCTTTGGGAGTTCAAAGTGAAGGTGAGAAGCTTCAACTCTCTCCATTACAGGGGCTATCAGTGAAGAATTTGGGCTACTTTGGAGGATGAGGTTGGGGGTTCTAGAAGGATCTGGCCAAATAGTAATTAGTGTACCTGGGGTGTGATACAAGAGATCTCAGTTGCTTCCCCTAAGCCATGGAATGTTAATAGCTCTCACCCTCGCTGGTGACTGAGGCAGGTGAAGAGTGACCTAGAGGGTTGGAGAGAGCTAAGGGGCAACTTTCAACTTCTTGGGTCACATTCTTTACTGAAAACCTGGACTGCCTGAGTTTCACTTTCTGCTTTCCCTGCTTACATCAGTTCCTTTGTCTGAACCTTATCCAGGCACCCTGCCTGATCTGGGGTCAGAGGATCAATTGCTGCCTGACTGTGGCTGAAATGGCTGTTGCAGGGGCAGAGAGCAGCAGACTTTAAGGGGCAGAAGGGGTTCTCCACTTATGTAGAGAGGCACATGGTAAGTTGTGAAAGCAAGCAAGCCTGCATTTGTAGGTGGCTATGTGCCTACACTTGGCACATAAGACGACTGTAATCTTTGCTGAATGAATGAAGATACATACTTATGTTGGTCTTCCTCTGTAGGAATAGAACCAAACATGAGTTACTACAAATCCTTATTTAGGTGAGGAGCCAATTTCTTTCCCCAAAGTAGATGAAGTCAGCCCATCAGACCCAGGCTGAAACAGCCCAGCTGGTTTCTCCCTTTGTATTACTACACCCCATACCCCAGGACCCAAGGACTTTTTAGAATGAAAATAGCAGTAGCTTGGAACAGGCTCCACTGATTTGTGCAAAGAGGTGATTTACTGACAAAGGCTCTACACCCTTTCATCTCTCCCTGTGCCCCCACCCCATTACACACTCTCTCTCCCCCTTTATGTGAACTAAACGCCCCAGGAAGCCCACAGCTGAAAAAGCTCTTGAGAATAGGAATAACTAACCAGAGTGTCATCTGAGCACCTTTTCTGGGGCCAGGGTAATGAGAATTATTCAAATGCAATCATAAAATGAGGCCAGGCAGGCAGGAATGGGGGGAGACGTGGGGGTAGAGGGAAAGCTTCCTTGCTAGTTTTAAGTTTCATAATTTCTGGGGAGTTCACCTGGGGTACACAGAAATTTTCACCTCATCTCTGTCCTCTCAACACAAGGATGTCTTGAAACTGCCTCAGTTGTTTGCTGAGGAGGACTTGGAATGGAGAGCAGTGCTCCGGAGCCACTTGGGGGTCCTCCCTCAGAAGCAACCCTCACATTTGTGGCGTTTCCTCAGCGCGGTTTCTGCCTCCCGGTCAGCAGGACTAGGCAGGCGTCTGACGTCTTAGACAAGCCTCCAGTAGAGGGAGACACTCCAAGCAGCGCCTCCGACTTGGAAGCGGCCGGGTCCGGGAGTGGGTGGGGGTAATGGGAGGGGGTGGGGTGGGGAGAAAGGGGGAGTGGGGAGAGGGGAGGTGTGTGAAGGGGGGGCTCCGGGGGGCGGGTCCCAGTGCCGCTGACGTCCCAAGCAGTGCTGGGAAGTATAGGCTGTGTTGTCACGCCGGTGTCAGTCTGATGAAGATTGGCATCAGGTAAGCTGTCATTCATTTCCATGTCAGAGACGCTTTTGCAGGCGGCGGCGGCGGCGGCGGCGGCGGCGGCTGCTGCTGCGGGCGGCTGCCTCAGAGCGCGTGTGTTTTATTCCAGTCCCCAAGCCAGAGTATTATTCATTGCGACAGGGCAAGGAGGAGAGAGGGAGGCAGCAGGGAGGAGAGAGGGAGGCAGCAGGGAGGAGGGAGGCAGGGAGCGGAGAGAGACGGCGGAAGCGTGCAGAGAGAAGCTGGGGAAGCGCTGGGAGAACGCGGAGCGTGGCAGCGCGAGTCACTGCAAGGCCAGGGGAAGGAGGCAGCCAGAGCCGCGTCGCTCCCGGGCTCCCGGGCCGGGCGAGCGCGCAACCCCGCTGCCGCCTCCGCCGCGCTCCCGCGGGCGCGCACTGTCGGCGGGTACAAGGAGCGGGTCTGCGGACTCAGAAGACCGCGGCGGGCCCAAGAAACCGTAGCAGAGCGGGAGGGGAGCTGCGCGCCGGGAGCACCCGAGGGACCCCAGACTAGGGGCAGCGCGCGGTCGGAGCTAGGAGCCCGAGTTGAGGCGGCTCCGGCTGGGCGCTCCGCGGGGTGAGGTTGGGAATCGCTGGCTCCAGGTTGTCTTTCTCCCAGCTTCGAGCGTCCTTGCGGTGGGCGCACCTCTGCCACTAGCCTGGAGCTGCCTTCGAGTGGCTGGAAGCGGGAGCAGCCCCAAACTGGAGCCGGATGATATGAGTCAAGAAGCCGCGACCGGCCGGGCCTGGGGAGCCGGGGGAGCCCGGGCGAGTGGGAGGTTGCGGACGGATCAGTGAAATCCGGTCCAGCGAGCTAAGGGGCAGAGAAGCCGGGTTTCGAGAAGCCAGGCTAAGGGACGCTCGCCGGAAGAAGCGAGAATCTGTAGGCTCACTGGCTTTTCCTTAGACTGTTGAGGAGGTTTGGTGAGGTGGGGGAAGCTGAAGGGCCTTGGCCGAGGCTTGAGAATCCGGGGCCCTCCTGACTCGAGAACTAGGGGTCGAGTTCGTAAAACAGGGGGTGAAGAGCACCCCGAGAGCAGAGAGCAGAGGGGGATGGGGCAGAGTCCCGGGTCTGCTGCGCAAAGTTTGCGTTTCTTTCTCTCGCGGCTCTCGGCCCCCAGGAAGAAAAGAGCAAAGCGGGCCGCCCTTTCCGGGGGCTCTTAGCTGGAGAACCCAGGGTTCCCGCGCGGTGGGGAGATCTGGGCTGGGAATGACGGGGGTGGGTTGTGGCTCAACCCTGAATTACGGTTGGGCTTTCGGGCCAGGCTAGAGTTTGTGTTATAGGATTCAGGCTGTTTTCAGAAGAGGAATAGAAGGATCGCTGAGTAGCTTAGGGATCAAATCTGCACCCCGGCAACAGCAACGGGCTGGAGGTAGGAATCAGGGTCCTGGGATTAGATCTGAAGCTGGAGTCGAAGGAATGGGAGGCGTTTTTAGGATTTGGCCTCTGGAACAAGGCTTTTTATTGCGGTTGAGGCAATAGCAATTTGGGGAGGGTCGCGCGCGCGGATCCTGACGCTCCACGGGTGGGAAAGCGTTTAGCTAGGCGACGAAAGTAGTTGATCCGAGGCGTGGCAATAGAGCCCTGAATTCCAGCTGCATCTCCCCGAAAGCGGATCTTTTGGAAGAGAGGGCTTAGGGCGCGCGGGACCAGGAGAAAGATTCTGGAAAGCCGGCAAATTGAAGGGACGTTCTGGGCAAAGTGATAGGGCAGCCTTCAGGGATTCGGAGTGGATCCTAGGACCCGACGGCAGCTTGGCGGGCTCCCGGAGGCACTTGAGGGCCGCGGGCGCCAGGAGGTGGGGCGGGGACGGGTGGCCCGGAGGGGCTGCGGCCTAGGCTAGTGTGGCGCCAGTAGCGAATTCCCGCATCCTGCCCGAGACAGGGCGGGCTAGAACTTGGGCGCTCCGGCTGGAGCCTCTGCCTCTTAGCCGGCAGGCGCTGCCTGCGCTTCCCTCGGCTTGGTCAGAAAGCTCACACGCCCGACCGCCGGTGCGACTTTTTGCCTGCGGAAGCTCGGGATTCCCTACCTTCACCCTAATTGTCCCAGGACTCCTTCAGCGTGTTGTTGACTTTTTGGATTTTAAATGCTCTCCAACTGATGGAAGTCAAGAGCCTTGCATTTTAGGCAGATTTAGGCCACTTCCTCACCCAAATCTGAGAAAATGCTGGTGTTCAAACACAACATTACCCCAAACCCCAGCCCTTCGCCCTTCCCTTTACCCCTCCATTCTGGCCTTCCAGAGGCCCAGGACCTTAGGGGGAGGGGAAGCTCCCATTTCTGGACTCGGTATCTCCCTTTAGATCTGCACCTCATGGCTCAGGCCTAGCACGGAGGTGGGAGAGAGTCTCGACCCACGAGGGAGGTAGCCCTCTGATCAACTAGGGAAACTGGGGTGGGAGAAAGGTTTGGAATTTCCTCTTCGCAATTTTGAATCCACTTTCCCCGTCCCCGGCCCCCCTCGCTGGACCAGCCACACAGCCCTCCTGGGACGCAGAAGACGCGGGACCCACGAGTGGCCGAGGCGGCCTCGGGAAGTGTGATTGCCGCGGCGGCGGCGCTTCAGGGCTGTTGTTTTGCAGACTTGGAATTCGTGCGCTTACACTCCCGCCGAGAACCTGAGGGGGGAGGGAACCGTGACCCTACTGAGACTCCCTGGTCACCGCCTACCCTTTGTGAGAGCGAAAGGAATGAAAGCTGAAAGAAAAAGAAGCTGCTTAGAATAAGGGGCAGGGGGTTACTGGAGGGAGATGGGCCCGACCACCTCTCACAGTAAAATGCCTCGTGCGAATTGCACTGAAGTGTACCCAACTTGAGACTGGCTGTTTTATGATCCTTTCTGGGAGTTTACTGCTCTCTGCTTTTAAGTCTATAGATTGCTTTAAGTTAATGAAAGTGCTGCTTTCAAAAGGGGTCTTTTATTGTGTGGCAATGGCATGTCCAGTACCTCCCCTATACTCTTCCAAAATGGGCTTGTTTAAAAAGATGGGGCTTGGAAGATGGACTGAGCTTGGAGGACAAGGCCATGTGACAATGAGGATTAATAAAAGTCAATTTCCAAGTGATTCAGAAAGATGAGTTGACTTCTTTTCCAGTCCAGTTTCATCTGTACATTCCTATATCCTCTTGGGCTTTCACTGAGTCTGTTACTTTAAATGTTGCTTGGTGCCTCACCCTCAATTCCTTTATGTAGGCCTGACCTTGTTCAGTTAAACACAAACTGTATTTCAGTATTTCAAACCCAGTGCCAGTTCAAACAGCAACTAAAATATTTACTCCTGGATTTGGGGAGGGTCTTTGCCTTGCATGTAGGAAGATAGATGTGTTACCCTGGCAGGGATAAAGGCAGGGAACCTTGAGAAAGAACATGGTGGGCTACTTTTCAGCTCTTTTTTTGTTTTCCATCTATTTGGCACAAAAGATGAGATGACAACGTTTTTGACTAGGTCCAAATACAGAAACTACAGTGGGACTGGGCTGTGGCTTTGACCGCATGTCATAACCATTTAAACTGTGGTTACTTGTTCAAAGCTCAAAGCTTCTCCAAGCTGGGTTTCATTAACTCTACACCAGTTGCCTGGAAGTTCAGTAGCAATAAATTGTATAAACACATTTGAAGTAAGTTAGTGATGAAATAAGGAGAATTACTGTCTTGTGAGTGGAGAATCCTGAATTCATGGAGTTCTAGCTTAACTGGAAACATACCTTCTCTCCCTTGGCCTTGATGTTTATGGGTGCACCAGTGTGTGTTAAATTTCTTTCTGCCATGTCTATCTTCAACCTGGGGCTGTAACTCATTAGAGACCAAGGCTAGCCTAGAAAGCTAAAAGGCAGGGTTTTAAAGGGGTAGATTAGCTGCTTTAGGAACCAACCCAAACCGATCAACCTAACTTCCTTACCCTGCATGAATGCAGTGTGCAATCTAAACAACAACAGAGTGGGGGCAAATTAGATTTTTAAATGCTAGAGGCTTAATAATACTGTGTTAGCAATTGAATTTGTTTTTTATTAAAGAAACAACCTATAAAATTTATAGGCTTCCAACATGTTGCAAGATTTCCTTGCTATTTATTTAGTACCCCCCCCCCTTCTGAAATTCTATCTCCAATTTCAGACTTTTGTTCCTGATTTATTTAATGTGGAGCACATTTTCTAAATTAGCTTGAGGAGGGTGAGAAATGCTGTTATAAGTTTCCCGTTTCCTATGCTGTGTGGCACAGGGACTGCGACGCTCTAAGATATATATAAATGTGTGATGCAATTGCTAGAGGTGACGGAATGCTAAGCAAAGTGTCTAGCTCAAACAAAATGCAGATCAGAGTATTGGGAGGGTGAAAATGATACCACCCAGGAAAAACAGAGGAAGTTATATGGAAAATGAAATCATCAAGAGCCACTGTTAGCCTTGATTCTAGCCAACATACTGTGCTTTGTATAAAGCACTTCTCATGAGATCCGTGACTTATCGAAGACTGAATTACATTGAGAAGCAGAATTTAGAAGGAGGAGCTGCACTCACTGGGATCTGTCCAGGCCAGGATGTGTTGCAGTGGGGATCTGCTAATTTAATTAAATCTAATACTTGGTGGGAAAGTGAAGAAGAAGGGCGGGATGTGGCCAGGATGATAATTAAGGTTGGCAGGTCAGCATACTAAGCTAGTGTATAGACTGAAATTGAGGCTTGGCAGTTTTATTCCGTTATTGCCTGGTTACAGGACTTCGCCGGGCCGTTCAGCTTCTGAACCTCAGTTTCTTCATCTGTAAAGTGGAATGTATCTGTCACACACATTCCTCATTAGGCTGTGAGGAGTAAAGGACAAGGCCGAATCTTGCACAGGGTTCACTCTAAATAATAAAGGACATAGGGGATAGAAGCCTTCTCAGTAACAAAGTCACACTTTTGGATGTGTTTTCTTTCCCTGCCTGGCCCCAGAGCCTTTCCCCATAACTCTCAGGAGTTCTCACTTTGGTGAAGAGACTAAGATCGTGCCTTT